GTCGAGCCGCGCCTCCTATATATCTGCAACCGATCCTCGATCTCCCACGCCGGCCGCCCGTTTGGCGTGCAGAACAAACTGCCCCCTTGGTTTCTTACTTGCCGTATATCAGTAGAAGTAGCGCTGAAACGATATCAGAAGCGATTCGAACTTACCCCTCTGCCGTGGGGAACTCTGATTCGCAATACCAAGCAGTACGTGAACCTCGACCTCGACATCGTCATCTTCGAACCTTGCCACAATGGCTGCCGCGGCTATCACTGCGCTCGCCACCAGTATAGCGACGAGGATCGCGCCGCGGTGCGTTTCCTAACTGTTCAGACGGAATCGCCCAACTTGGTCGCCGGGGCTGTGCCTTGTTGGCAGAGCATATCTCGATCATGGCCCAGTGTCGAGACCCTTTATCTAACGCGAGTCGCCGTCAAGGGTATCAACAGGCGCGACAAAGCAATGCTCCGCATCTCTCCCAACGACCGCGAAATTGGGCTCCAGAAGCTTTTCGAAGAGTGGAAGAAGGGCATGGGCAAGGGTCTGACTTTAGAGAAATTGGAGTTCGTCGTGGTAGTCGACAAGGAGACCTCGAGTGCAGAATCGTACAAGTCGGTCGAAGACAGAAAGACGGGGCTCCTCGAGGATATTATCCTCGATTAAGCCCTTCCAACGACGTCGCGAAGAACCGCCGCAGTTACTGCGACGAAACCAGGTCTGGAGGCAGCGGCGCATCCGCCCCTGTGTATGCGCCGCGTCTTTTTCTTCTCTATTGATACCCCACATAGTTCATCGTCATTAATTTTGTCCACTTACTTCACCGCCATCGGACATCCGCGAACCCTTCGATGACCTAAGACCAAATCGGGTCACGACTACCGATACAAGCCTTTTCAGTGGTACTTATACACTTGGGTCGTCGGACCGAAACATCACCAACATTTTCTTGCATGTCATAGTGGGAGATAGCACTATGATCTACGAGGGTGATGAAAATTTGTCTCTTACTACGAAGTAGGGTGATTTTATCCTACGATTGCTTTTCTTCCACCACTTTTTTTCCCCCTTTTCTTTCCGGCACCTTCCACTCCTAATAATTCCAGAGCACATGGCTGTTTATTTTCAGCCTATTCACGCAAAACCCCCACCAACGTAACTACAATATCGCCACGATCGCACAGACTTCTCGAGATGTGGTTGAAGGACTCTATGGCAAGATGCATTGACACTGCTGCAAAGCCGGCTAGGTGGCAGCGGTGAATGGAAAACGATTCGCTCGTCAGCTTTACGGATTTTTACGAGGAGCCACGATAACAGACTTGCGATGCCCTTCGACCCCGTTGACAGTCGACATTCTCATGCAAAATGCGCCAATGATCTCAGATTCCACGTGGATATCGTCCATGGTACCTTATTACCAAGGACAGCTAATGGTAAGTCTCTTCCTCTTCATCTCACGAGAATTATCATGGGTTGCAGTTTTAAATTTACCGTCCCGATTCGAAGCAGGCTTCGCTAATATATCCCCAATAGCAAACGTGAACTGCATGGGAGCCTTACACCCGTCTATATCTACTACTTCTCTCCGAAAGCAGCTGTACGAATCTTGTTACTATAACCGAGGCCATTCGGTATCTTGGTCATTCCACCGCCGCTGTGTATTGCATCCCTCTACCTCCTGATGGTCTACGTTTTGGTCTGAGTCTTATGATAATCCGATAAATATATGCACGCGGGAACGTAGCGCGAAAGCATCCGAGGACAGGATCATGGTTCTATGATGGCCGCCAAATAGCCGGCCTTGATAACATTTGGGCCAAATAGCTGAAAGTTCGATCCAATCTGTGAACGGATAGATACCTATGGCCTTTCTTTTCCGCTCGCCGTTCAAGGGAAAGATGCGGAGTGACGATGCAAAGAAAAGCAAATAATGAATATACTCAATTGATACCAAATGCTACCACGCCTGAATTGTTTCGGCTCTTCACCTTGTTGATTAATGGCAGCCTTATGGCCGCCATACTTTGAATGTGTTCGGACCCTTGGACTATCGGGTAGCCGTCGCGTATTAACCTTATAATGCCATGACAATAAACCAATCACTGGTGATCTTTGACGCCACAAGAGCTTCCGTAGCGGCTCGAACTCGAGGTTTCAAGAAAAGTCCAGAGTTTAATCACGGAAGTATTAACCAATCCTTGTCCATGCAACAAAAGCTGAAAATGCGCGGGATTTAAGAGTAGGTTGCTAGTAGAAAGACGGAACGCAACTCGAAACCCTTAGAACAATGAAATTGAGTCTCCGAGAAAGAGGATAGATTATTTCAGACGCTTCGAATCGCTGCCGTTGTATGCTAAGATACAAGCACACTTCCAGGTAGATTCAGGAGTGACCCCTATGATGACTAAGCAGGTTGGAGAGAGGGATGACTTGTTACGAAGAAATTCATATAACTGCTGCTATTCACAAGTAACGTTTCGGGTTAGATACTGGGCTAACGAACAGAGCTCCAGGGATATTATTTCCGAATTACAATGAATTTTTACGATATACACTAAGGTGTCATTATCTACTTCCTTCCGCTGAGTAAGCCATAGTGCTTAGGATATGTTAGGCCTTAAGTACAAAATCGACATACTAAATGCATTCGTTTCCCTGCCCTTTATATCCAAACTATTCCCAGATTGCCGCTCGTCGTGGATGTAAGTTGCGCACATATATCGTTTGCTCGTGTTTTATCAGCCCCGAGACTTGGGTTACACGGGGATGGAACGTAGTCTATGCTCCTGTCCGTACGTGGCCGTTGAGAAAGTCGCTTTGTAGGATGGTTCCTGATGAATGTCACATTACATTAACTGAAGAAGATATGAATGCTGTTCTACCTGACTGAACGTATATTGACACCGTTGCTCCCAAGTCCGCTTGTGGCCCCAACAGCCGTGCCCGACGGGACTGTCAGGCTTTGGCCTTCCTGGCCCCCAGCCCTCCTCTAGGTCCTCTAGAAGGCATCGTGGCCTAGGATGGTAGCCTTGCAGCCACCAGGACGTGGATCAGCTGTCAGGATATGGATTGGCTCCCTTGGGACTCTTCTAACAGACTCCTTTATCTGTTATCTTGTATATACAGACAACCTCGTAGCTGTTAGATTCGTAGCTCTTCGTGCAACAACATAGTTGTTACCCTTATCGCTTGGTCGGCCTTGTGACAGGGACAGCATGGTCCTTCCAATAAGAAAGAGAAAAGAAAAAAAAAAAGAATAATGAAGACTCGTAAGAAAACCGTAGCTAAAAACGCCCACCGCAAGCTGGCTGCCCGAACGAAGCCGACGCAATTAGGCACCGACGCGTGCGGTCGGCCCTCATTCCCGCTACCGCCGTCGTAGCACCGGCGCATCCCCCGGGCGTCGACGGCGAAAGTAGATAAGGAGACCGGAAAGCGCGAGGCCGAGTTTCGATTGTACGAGATTGAGGCCCGGGAAGACGGCGGGGCGTATGGCCTGCCTTTTATGGTGGGTGTAGGCCACAGGTGTAGTGGTGGTGGTGGGGGATAGTGAGGGATTCGGGGGGAAGGGGGGCTGACGAGGGGTGGCCGAGGACCGGGAGCTGGGCCGTGCAAAAATCCTAGGATGGATACGCCGAGGAGAAAGTTGGCCAGTAGCATGGATATCATGCGTAGCGCGAATCTACTGGTGTTCCATGCGGGTTGGTTCGGGGACTGTTTCGACTTCTGCCATCTTCTTCATGTTTGGCGGGTGTCGGTTTGGACAGGTTAGTTGCTAGCAGTTGGAATGATAAGAAAAAAAGATCGGAGTTAACTTGTCTTTAGCTAACTTTAATTACATTCAGCACTAGCGATGGGAGCTGGGTTGCCTCGAGTGCTGGTTGACATCGGAGGTAGCCAAGTCGACATTCAGACTGTTGACGAGGTAAACCTTGATGTAGGTCAGTAGGTAAAGTTGTTACTTCAACCCAATGCTTTTTGAGGCTCTTGATGTGAAAACATTATTATCTACCTAGATATTTAATCCTTACTGCAACTCTAATTGTGTTTGTGCCAATACAAACGTCTATGCGTTGTGATCTGCAGTTTGCAAACCCGGAAGGATCAATGACTTTAGCAAGAGTGCCTCTCCAGATTCCCTATCTCTTCGTTACTTCGCAGATCGCCCTTCCTTTGATTAGTATAGACTCTTATCACCACAAAGATTTTCTCGGGAGAGAGGGGAGGGTTAAAATCATTGATTCTCTTGTACCTTAAACTACTACCAGATCTCTCTTTTCAAGAAATGTGATGAGTTGAGAGTTTCCTGTAGTTATCACGATTCCCTCTCTTACATTACGATGGTCCACTTCCATGCCAAAAATCAAAGAGGGTTGTGTTTCGCGCCTATGATCCAAATTTACATTTATACCAACATAATATTCGTAGTCTCTTCCATCAATTCCGTTAGAAGATCACTGTGGAGCACCAATAGGGGGTTACAGGCTTAACCATTCGGCAGTCTTAGTTTAGCCTGGGTAGCGGTATTGGGTGCTAGTCAAGCCGAGTAAGTGGAAACTAAACGAGAAATAAAAATCGTATGCGGACTGATGCTCGAATATTCGATGAGGGATGAGCCACTTGATACAAATCTGTGATTGTCTCTTGGACTATCGTGTCCCGGTGCAGAAACCGGCATTCCTGTTTTTTCGGCCACGGGGCCGACCGGGGCAGGGTGGCACAGCGCCGCCATCGGAAGTTGCATTGTTTCTTGCTGCTCACATCGACTACAAAATCTCCCTACAAGATATGAATTCATCACCCGCTCAAAGTCCAATAAGAAATTCCTCAAAATTGACCAGCTCACATAAAAAGAGAACAAGAAGCTAGATACCAATCATCAACGCAAGAAAGTCCTAAGTGGTGAATTCTAGTGGACAGAGTTCCCTAAGCGTCGCGCTATCGGCGGACTGTTCATTGATAGGATAGCTCGGAAGAATTTCGGTATCGACTTCTACGACGGTAACGACTAGGCCTCTATGGCGCAGTGGTAACGCGTTGCACTTGTAATGCAAAGATCCCTCGTTCGATCCGGGGTGGAGGCATAAACCACTTGCCAGTGACAACACTGGCATGTCTTTTTCAAGAATGCTTTTGGTTTTTACTCTTTGAAGTCATTGTAAGATGAACAGTATAGGAGTAAAGAAGGACATCTGGCAACATACCTAAAAGACTGCTGGTGGCTCCGCTAAAGAAAAGAATTCAAGATTTTCTGACTCTTCTCGTATTGCGATTCCTCGCAGATGAGCAATGTTCCTATAAGAGCTAAATAGAAATGTTTCTCTGAACGAGTTTCTGAGGTTACTTGAGCCTGGCCAATTAAAAATCCAGGAATGTTGGTGAATTGTGTAGCAGCACCCCTTTTATAGAGTGGATTAGCGAGGAGTTGAGGAAGCTTAACTGAGAAGGAAGTAAACACGATTAAATCAAAGCTGCAGAGTAGACACCGCTGATTAGGTATTCATCGTCGTAATTAATATATCTATCTATCTATCTAGATAGTTGAATGCATGTTTGCCATGCGCTAGATGTAGCCCTTTCTCCAAGGACTACATCAAGACGGATGAATGAATGATCCCCTGAACAGACAAGCTTTTCACTACCTCTACTGATATGCAGATCGTGTAGTTCGCAAGCTTGTGTGCCTCGGAAACGAGCGAGGCCTCCGATTCGTTTCAAATTCATATCGAAGACAGAATCTTTACCTCCTAATCTGGGTTGGTGGTATTGCAATTCTGCGACAACGGTGACAACTTCGCAATTCCTTAAAAACACGAGCAGGCATTCGGTGTCGTTAAGTACCTTGACTGGGTCGGTCGTAGCGATTCCACATCCACACGAATGGTTTCGTGTGATACAGGGCTGAGGACTGTATCCTAAAAGTCTTCACATTCACTTAAATATGCGACGGCCGCCCGCTCGCACCGCAAATCTCTCGGCTCCATTTTGTACCTGCTGGTTCCACACCATGAGGCTTCCTAGCGCTCCGCCGTGCTCAGAAGAGGCCTTCTGCCGTCTATACGCTTCTCGGAGATGTTCGGCGCGCAGGGGTGCTTGTCGACGGTGCGCCGATAACTCGCTGACAGGTTGGAGATTGTCGTCGGGCAGGTCGGTTTGCTTTTCTCCCAGTTCTACCCATTCCTGTTGAATGTCGCGAGCGGCTTCGACGATGTCTCCGACGAACATCTTGCACACCACTTGCATCATCTGGTGCACGTTGGGCGGACAGGATTGCGATGTGACGATATTTATATGCTGTTTCCATAGTTAGCAATGACACCGTGACGACCAGGGTAGTATCAATCGGAAGTACACACTCGTTTCACGTCGGCGGGTTTGAGGGTTGACCGACGCCAAACCTCGTAGCGGTGGAACTGTTGCTGGTCCATCTTCGACTTGACCATCGCGACGAGCTCCTTTTCTTCCTCGATCTGCTCCTTCGTGCGGGCGGCAGACACGCTAGCCATATTCTCCGGCATCTCGAACTCTCCTTCCTTCCCGCCGTCCTGGTCTACATCTTTGCCTCCACCGTGGGTACCGCTCACGCCGCTCACCACGGTCTGCGCGCGGCCCCCGACGACACTCGGCGACCCGTCTCGCAGGGCCTCGGCGGCGGCGACGCTCGCGCGCTCCGCCTTGGACTTCCTGCCTCGCTTCTTCTTCGCGGGCGCGCCGCTGACCTGGCTGCCGCTGACTAGGCTCATGTTGTCGATGCTGGGCGAACGCTGGAACGAGGGGGAGAAGGCCTGGGCCTGGGACTCGTCGGGCGGGAAGGAGGTCTGGCGGAGAGGGTGCGCGGAGCCGGTGGACGCGACGGACATGGTAGACGCCTTGCGTCGCTTGATAGAGGGCGGCTGCGCGGACAGGTCTGCTGCGACGGAGCCGCGCTTCTTAGACGAGGGCAGTTGCGCGCTAGACGGATACGGTGGAGACCCGGCGGGCGAGAAGGCGTGGTGTGGAGGGGACGCCATCTTTTGGTCGAGGAGGAGTGGGCTAAGGGTTTGGCGAGAGCCCACTTGAGGATCGTAAATGCTGCGACGGTCTCGAGCTAATGAGTCAGGATGGAGTCGACGTGTCGTAGGCACCTTGAGCGATAACGTAGAGGCGGTCGCGAATTAACAATTAATGCGGCAATAATATCGTAACCCTGCTGAGAAGCGAAGATGAAGAGGAACGGCGGTCGCGATGGAAAAGTAAGGCCAAGCTAAACACGAACGGCCAAGGAGCCGATGGCGATCTAACATTCGTCGCGGCGCAAAGTGCAATTACGCAACAGCACGAGCCACAGTGAGCTGGATGGTATTCAGCCACACAGCCACAGAGCACACCGCCCTACTATGTAAGGATGACTCAGATTAAGTCAGATCCAATGCTTCGGGTACGGATTACCTAAAAGTTTCAGGTGGGACCTGAGCGAATACCCCGCGGACTTTCAAAAGATCCTATCAGTCCGATAACGGACAATTGAATAACTTACTTGGGATACAGGCAAATTGCATTAATTTATTTCGCAACCCGACATGCTTATTGCATGACTAGCTGCATGCTGAAAATATTACTCAGAGCTACCTACATTAAAAACCACGCTTCAGCTCCGCACATGTGCTTGAGCTGATCCAACTGATTGGGAACCCGAGTTCGGTTTCCCCGGGTCCGCATTCCGTACGAACGTACATATTAGAGGTCAGGACTTCAAGAAGCCAGCCATCAAGCCAACCCACCGAACCACCACCGCCGGTATCCGACCCAGATCCCAGATGCGCCACCCCTTACTTGCCCCGACCGATCGACCGAACAAAAAGCAAAATGGTGCACTTCACCGGCCCGAGACGGGACGAGCGCGATTCGACAATCCCGGATCCCTCCGGCAGCTCTGTCACGGGAGTTTCCGACATTGACGATTCCGTCAACGGCAGCGAAAAGCAAGCACGGGACGACAGCAGAGGGGACAGCAGATTGTCAAGAAAGAAGAAGAGAAGAAGAAGAACCAAGGATGGCGGCATATCTGAGATGAACGGAACTTCTCCAAGAAGTTCGAAGAAGAGGCATAGCATAAGCAAGGCGGCGCGAGATCCCAGAGACGAGCCGTCGAAACGGGAACGGAAAAGGGAAGCTAAGACATCGGGCGCGGATACGAGATCGCCCAGTCCGGTTCTTGACTTTGACGGTCTGAGCCGACCAAGTACGTGAAGTTCTGGCTAGATTGAACACTCTCACTAACATGGCCTAGGTCGCGGAACTCGTGAGCGACTAGAGGAGAGCACCGAACAGGCGGCCGAACGACTCGAGAAGATGCGCGGAGCTGTCCGAACGATTCTGGAATGCGTCGGCGAAGACCCGGATAGAGAAGGCGTTCTTGACACACCTACGAGATATGCGAAGGCGCTGCTCTTCTTCACGAAGGGCTACCAGCAGAATGTTAGAGACATCGTCAATGACGCCATTTTCCACGAGAACCATAACGAGATGGTCATCGTAAAAGACATCGAGATATTTAGCATGTGCGAACATCACTTGGTGCCCTTTACTGGGAAGGTCGGTTCATTCTTAGACTTGGATTTAGCTACTGCTCTAACTCGTTCCCTAGATGCACATTGGATACATCCCGAATAATAACGTTATCGGAATTTCCAAGCTTCCGCGCATTGCGGAACTATTTGCGCGCCGCCTACAAGTACAGGAACGACTCACGAGAGAAGTTGCGAATGCGATCATGGAGGTCCTAAAGCCTCAAGGAGTAGCAGTTGTCATGGAATCGAGTCATCTTTGCATGGTTATGAGAGGTGTCCAGAAGACGACGGCGACCACGATTACGAGCTGCGTTCTCGGTTGTTTCGAACGAAAGGAGAAGACGCGGAATGAGTTCTTTAGTCTAATTGGGCTGAACAGATCAGTCGGGTAGAATGGAATAAGACAGTACGGCAACGTATGGGGAATGCATATCAGGCGTTTGAATTTAGAGCGTGGGATCTCAACATCAAGCTCGTCGCTAAGATCGGGTCAGGATTGGTGCATTTAACATGGAGGCCTTAGAAGGCTCAACGCCTCTAAACCAGAGGTCGTTTTAGGAGTTAGGGGTTGAAAAACTTATCTAAATCTTCAACATTTGCTTCATCGGAGGCATCGCCGGCTTACTGGTGTTCATATACCAGCAGCTAGGTTATCGATACTGGGCATACAGTTTAACATTTTGTATGCGAATTCCTTCTACCTACCTAAGGTAAACCAGAGCATAGCGCGATCATACACAACTACAACACACCCGTCCGACATACCTTGGGTACCTTATAGCACACTTCTGAGGTACCTATTTCAAACTCCTAACATGTATGTCTTGATTCTTCCATAACATAAACGAGTTTTATGAGTGGTAACTCAAGTTGAGAGATAATAGAGGTTGTATAATGGACTTGAGAACAACAGAGGGCGAGTGCCAGGTATTTCGGAAACCTGCAGATACGCTCACTTAACTACGGTCTTCAGCTGACAAATTTGAAGGTGAACGCCAGCTTCTATAGCGAATTCTCGTGCCAGATTTGTTGTACACCTGTTTTAAGGGTTGGCAGGACAAGCCTAAACCCAATTTATAAGCGCTAGGTTAGAATCTTCGCCAATGAGTCAAGATCTGATCTAAGAAGCTTGGCGGACGCCGATTTGATTGAAAAGAGCCTCCGAAATAGTTGCATTGGGAGATGCAACGCCTAAGCGCGGGTTGATTGTCGTATACATAGAGCGGGTGATGACAAATGAGATTTCGGACTTCGCGCTGCATGAAGATACCGACGTACCTTGCAAGGGCGGGGCTGCATTGCGAATATTACAAATATATAGCCTCATGGATGTTGTATATTAAGCTAGGCCGTTGGCTTATCAAGAACTCTAGCCTTGTCTCTCTCATCCTAACTTCTAATCCGACGACACATATCAACCTACACTTCAACGGTACTTGGCCACTATTCAACATGAGCGCCATCAAGACAGTCGCAGTCGCAGGGGTAAGACCAATACCTCACACAGCTACGAAGCAGTAACTAACAACCTAATC